ATAAATATTTATATTTTTACTAACTTTGGACATATATAATTATATACATATGTTGTATATATAACTAACTCTAAGTGGGTTTGTGTTCTCCTCCACGAGGACTTCGAAATGATATATTATATGTCTAAAATGGAGTATATGTGAATGAGATATCGATACTCAAAGAATGGTATTTGAGAATAAATTTAGCAAAAATGGATGAATGTGGTAATGAGTCCCACATTGGTAGAAAGACCAAACTAAACAATGTTTATAAGCTTGAATACATGTAAAGCTTACAAGCTTGTGTCTATGGTTTTACTACAATTCCTACCCGCGTGCAGGGGGGGTGCAAATCTTGGATTTTGTAGACCAAAAACATTGAACTCGTGCATGGGCGCGACCTGCAGACACGAATGCAACTCCGAAAACTTGCGCTACCCTCGTTTTTGCTAAACTTGACAGTTTTGTTCCCTATTTTTGAATTCTGTAATGGATGCATTAATTACGTAATCAATGACATTTATTGGCATTAAACGCTGAATCAATAATTGATTTGTTTCCATTACACAATTCAAGTATAAAAGGAGACCTTTACCATCTCATTCAACACACAAATGAAAATACTCTTCTTTCTCCCCCTTCTCTGTACTTTTGTTTTCGGCGACTCTTTCACGCAAGTGAAATATCCGGCAATACACCACTGTTAAGGTTGTTGTACCCTAGGAACAGACGATGAATCCGTTTAATGGAATTGAGTCCAACTCGAGCGTCAGTCACCACGTTTTGCTACTAATCTTTTCTTTACAGGAAACTTTCAAGACGAAAATGAAGTCATTATACTATCAACTGCAAGGGTTTACGAAAACAACGTCGCTCCGATCGTCGAATCCTATCACCGCAACAACCAAACAGATGAAACCAACAATCAAAACCACCACCAAGTTCAAACCCTAGAAAGTCAACGAAAAAAAGAGGAAAAAGTTAGATCCCTAACGTCGCTTGTAATAGAGCTCATTCCATTGGAATTGATTTTGTTTTCATTTGCTTGTTTAATGGTGGGTTTTATTCAATCGGAATCGTAATTAAATCTTGAAACATCTATTGTAGTCGTTCATTAACTTCATCCTCCTCCCTCGTGCTCGTCTCCCTCTTCTCATTAATTTCCATCACACAGTTATTACTCTCTGCTTTCTTCTACTAACTTGCACCTCCCAGTTCCCCCAATTTGAGCGATCTCTATCGCAAATGTTTTTGTCTTAAAAAAAGTTTTTGAAACACGATAAGATGAGCTCCACCATGCGTTGAAATCCTAAATGTCCTTAGAACCTTAAACATAGCCACAGACAAAGGATCCATGGGTGCAAAACCTTGAAAATTGTCAATCACTGTTAATGACAAATTGAACCTAGATCCTCTAATGTTTATTGTGTCGTTGTTATTGTTGATCGCTAAAAAGTCGGAACTGGAGCGTTCAAGATTTAGGTTCTTTCTATTTTTTAGGCAACTGATTCATATTACTCTCTACTTAATATGTATTTTAATTGAATATTATTCGATTTATCTCTCTTATATCTTATTTTTTCATAGGCAAGAGGAAAATATGATAGGGAAGTAATATATGAGGTTCATTTAACAATTTGAAAGCTTTGATATTAAATGATAATGATTCAACACATTATCTACATTTCTTTTCACACAAAATTTACTTAGTTATTATTGGTGTAGCACAAAACCACGATGGTTGTTGAAGACTTCTTTAAGAAAATTTCTTTGGTGGTTAACGTGGTATGTGGTTCATGTAAAAGAAAAGACATGTTACGAGATAATTACAGAGAAAGGGTGCAAAAGAAAACTGATAATGGTGAACTTGAAACCAAAAGAGGGTTAAATGGAGAGATCACTCTTATTCAAGTGGGATATATAAGATTGGGTTTACATTACAAAACAATCACAAGTTTGATGAACTTATTTGCAGAGGTTCTTGCTTATGTTAAAGAGGAGGGATCCACTTTAAATAACTGAAATCAAGCATACAATATCTTAATTTATTTCAAAATAATTGATTTCGTGTTTATTTACATATATGAAGTTTTATACCCGTATTGTCAAAGCATTTAAAAAAAAGATTAAAACATTTTAGAAGCGACTTCTTTGGTTAGAAAGATAGTGGATGCATTGGAATCTTTATAAAACACAAGGTTTGATAAAACTATGTCCAATGTATTCTCTTTTTCTTAAAAACATAATATTAATATTGTGGATGTGACTGAAAATTATGTCACTTCAAGAAGCCGTAGGACCAAAAATACTATAATTTCATTTTGAAGTTGAACACCATTGTGATTATGCAAATTACACTCCGAGAATCTGTAGGACCAAAATTACTATAATTTCATTTTGAAATTGAACACCACTGTTGATATGCAATTATAGAATTCGGTAACCGATTTAGTAAAATAAGCATCAAATTACTAGAATACATGACTGATTTAGTGAAATAAGCACCAAATTACTAGAATGGACGGGGACTTTGAATCCAAGTGATTCATTTGCTAAATTTGACAAAACAAAGTTTTTGAAGTTGAGTGAGTTGTACAAAAATAATTTCGATGATTCTGAGAGGATGCAACTTGATGGTAAACTTGAGATATGTTATTATTCTTTGCATAAAGATGACAACAAGTTAACTAGCTTGAAGGGAATTTCCGGCCTTTCTCGTTTGATGGTGGAAATGAGAAAACATTGTTCTTATCCTATGGTTTTTTATAGGCCATTAAAATTGATTTTGGCTTACCCGTCGTAACCGTAACACTGGAAATATGTTTTTATACGATGAAGTCATTGAAGACGGACTTGTGTAGCAAAACGTGATGATTTTTTTTGAACAATGCCTTGATTTGTATTGTTGAAAATGAAGGTCTTATGAAAGTTAAGATCGAAGATGTAATTGATCGCTTTCAAAAAATATGTATACATTGATGTCAAATTTGAAATGTAAGTTCTATAATTACTAATTGGTTATCTTTAACAAACTTGTAATTTTTAAAATTTTATTTTATTATATTTGATCGGGATTTTTTTTTGGTGCCATTGTTGCTAGACATTCATGCATGGTGTGTCGGTGTACCTAAAATCGCATTATGCGATGTGCTGAGCTGGACGAAACCGCGCCCAGGAACACCACACCGTCGGTGTGGTTTCGGGTGTAGTGAATCAGCATTTGAAGATCCTTCCCAGCTCCTTTCTTCGTTTTATTAGCTAATGTTTGATTTCTTTTAAATTCTTTTCAGTTTCATAATATTTTATTAAATCATATATATACTAAAACTTATTAAAAAATATTAAAATTTATTTAAAACTCTACAAAAAGAGATAATATTGAAATAAGAATATTTAAAATTTTAAAGTTAAAATTAAGAAGTGAAAGGTGACAATGTCCTAAGTTTTGAAAAATAAATGGAAATTAAAGTAGTATGAAGGTGACATGAAAATTAAATGGAAGATGACTAAATTTATTGTTTGCAAGATTTTTAAAATAATCTTTCCAAACATAATTGTACGCGTTTTGGTTATTATTGTGAAGGATGATGAGTATTCGAAACCCGCCAACACCAGCTACATCTCCTTTATGTTTATTTTTAAATTCTAAAATTACATCCAACTTTTAGTTTTTTAACGGTTTTAACCCAAATTTGAAATTCATCTTTCTTTTTTTTAGCCCAACTTTGAGAAAAGCTAAAATTTCTTTCATTGCTTTTAAAAAAATATATTTTGAAACGTTTTTTTAGTATATTTTATCATTTCTTTTGTTAATTAGAACTAGTGGATGCTCCACATGGGCCAGTAGTCTTTTGTAAGATTTGCTTCGAATTCATTGACAAATGTCTATTTTGTTCATGTTTAATATTGAGAGTATTGAATTCCTTCGAACAATAGTCTATTTTGTTCATGTTTAATGGTGAATCTTTTGTTATCATGTTAAATTATGTTCTTTTTTTGAGCTTTGATAATGCAATTGTTCATCTTTGATGGATTTAGACCGTAAATGTTGATCATAGAAGGATAGAAGCGTGTTCAATAGTAGGAAGTTCAAAGAACTTGTTGAAGATAGCTAGAAGATTCAATCAACCCTAAGGTGCTGTTTGTTTTTTCTGAGGCAAAATGTCTGCAGTCTGCGGACCACATCTGTAGACCTCTGCAGTAGAAGAGGTGGACCAAACGTCTGCAGTCTGAAAAAAGAAGACTGTTTGTTTTTTTAACATCTGCGGGCTATTAAAATAAATTGAAATCTAAATAAACTGATTTTTTAAAACTTCAAAGCGAATTTTTATATATTTTTACGACTTTATTATAAATATATAACGAATCTAGATCAACTTTTATGTATTATTATATAAAAAATAAAAATAAAAATGGTATTAATTCATATACATATTTGATAAAAACCAACAACTTTGATTGCAAAGTTATAACTAAACATTATAATTAGTGATCAAAGAATTTGATACATAAATAGATGGAAATAAACTTCGATTTTTTCAAATAAATCTATTAAAAACGTACGATACATATTTTCTCGAGAAATTGATGATACTCTATTAAATAAAGTTTTACAAAATTTTGGCAAAAAAATATAAGAATATATTATGATTTTTTTTTCATATTTATATAAACAACTTCAACGAATATTATTATAATAAATTTTTATTTATAAATTTGTTAAAAATAACATGTTTGTATCGTCAAATGTTTTTTTTTAAGTTTTGTATTTTTTTTTTCATATTGTTTATCATTAATAAAGTTGGAAAAAATATAAATTAAAAAAAAACTTTAAAAAAATAAAGATATATATGTTTTTTTAAGCTAGAAGATGTCTGAAGATGTTAGAAGACTCTGGTCCACATCTGCACCAAGAAGAGGGCGCGCAGACATTTTTAGGTCTGCAGTCTTCAAAAAAACAAACAGTCTGCGAAGACTAATGTCTGCACGGCGCAGACAGAAAACGTCTCGCAGATCTGCAGACAAAAAACAAACACCACCTAAAAGTCAAAGAAACAATAAACCAGTAAATTTTATATGCACAAAACGATAATCAAATTGAGATTAAAATCAAAATAAAAACAAAAATAAACACCATAGCATAATGCCACCTAAACAAGATTCCTAACTGAACCAAGCAAGCATCAAACACTCAAATTTAACTTACGAAACCATAATTGGTTAAAAAATGGCAAAAGGGCGACCTAAAATCACGACACTTACAAAAGTTTTTGCCTTTATTTACCTGTGAATTTGAAATCAGAGGTGGTTGGTTGCTTTGATTCCTCCATTTTTCTCTTTCCTAACCATCTTTCTGGAACATGTAATGTCCTTATCACTGTCATGTTCCAAAGTTCTTAAGGAATAAACTCAAACAGTTGGTGATCATATTGATATAAACCTACAAATCATGTGTGGATTAGGTGAAATGGATTCCTTTTTAAGATTAGGTCAAAAAGAAATCGAAGCATAAAAAACGTAAAGGATTCAATCGAAGAGGCAATCAAAGACAAACACAAACACATAGAAAGAAACATCAAAGAGAAAAGAATCAAAGCAGAGAATAAAGCCGACAATCGAAAACCATAAAAAAGAACATACCAACGAACAGAAGAAGCGGGAGATAACGCAAAATCGAGGAAGCGATCAACCCATAAATCCAACGGAACAACCATGAAATCCACCTGGCTGCGATCAACGGCGAAATCCACCCGACTGCAATTGACGGTGCTATCGAGGAATCCAATAGAAATGAAAATCGATTGACAGAATCGATGGTATAAAAGTGGAACCCGACGTAAAATCGAGGAATCGAATACCAATCTGGAATCCGTTGAAAATGAATTGTAAGCAGAGAGGACACCGCCTGTAGAGGAAAAAACTAGCGCCAAAGTGGATCGGCTGAAACAGCTGGCTTCAGCTAGGCTCAATATTGACACTATTCACGAGCCTAGTCCAAAATTAACATTTCTATTTAAAAAAAAAGACCCATGGTTCTCATGGGCCAAAAAGGTTTTTCAAGTTATTAGATTGGATCGGACCGAAAAAATTTCACCACATAGTCATCTGATTCAATTCCAAATATTAAATGTACTGTCCAGGGCGTTATAAATATATTTTGGCCCAATAGGAACGAAAAAAAAACCCTTAAAGATACAAAAAATTCCATATATATATATATATATATATATATATATATATATATATATATATATATATATATATATACACTAACCGTTTATCCGCGTCAAGCGACGGATACAAATAATTTTTACTCTAATTAAATTTTACAGACGATTAATTCTTTTATGCAAATAGTTTATTATATCTAAACAATTATGAATAAGAGTCATGCTAGCATGAATGAAATCAATAAGAATTAAAAATAAAAAATTGTGATTCTTTACAAATATATATGAACACATGATTGATTGCATTATTAATCGTGCAACACTTTTTTATACACCACATTTAATGTAAACACTTCACTAACATTTAATTGTTTATCAAACTTCACTAATATGCATTGACACGTGATATCCCTCTGGATAATGCCACGTAAAGTCGATCATACGAGAAAATCGATTTTGACACTTCTTATTTTTTCGGTTGGCTTTCCTTCAAGCTCAGTTTTTGTCAGCTTTATAGGTTTGAAATCACGTTTTTTCGGTTCAGATTTAATTATTTCCTTTTAGTTCCATTTTTATGTATTTTGATTTAGTGTTGTATTTGAGCCAATCTCATTCAATTATATTGCTCAACTTTCGTCATGATAGATGGGGATTAATATTTTTCTTGACGCTTTGTTTCCTTTTATTTGACGTTGAATAAAAAACTTCAAAAATGGTCCCTGTGGTTTTCGAAAATATCAAGTTTAGTCCCTAAGTTTAAAAAACCTCACAGATGGTCCCTGTGGTTTCAAAACTTTTAATGTTTAGTCCTTCCGTCTAACACCGTCAGTTTTCTACCGTTAAGTGAGAGGCATTTTCGTCATTTCAATACCCAGGGACCATTTATGAGGTTTTCTATTTTTTTTTGAATAAAAAGAAAAAAAAATGAAATTTAAAAGGGTCCCACCCTCTCTCTCTCTCTCTCTCTCTCTGCTGTATAAAAAAACCCACACATCACAATTCTTCAAGAACAGTGTCTTGATCGAGGCTATGGAGGGAATCAATCAGATGCACTATTGGTGACGCCAAACCTTTTGCCAATTCCATTCCGATGTCGCCGGCCAAACCAAATACATAAAACGCAGATGTCGTGGCTTCAAAAGCGTGTGCTGGGTCGATTGCAACCATTTTCTCTCTATTCCTCTCGTATCTTTCTCGTCTTGTAGGTCCAAGACAAGGTAAATAGCCCTCTCCACCCTTACTCCCCTCTCTACTTCGGTAATCCCCATCTCCATCTTTGATTTGCCTTATTATGAACAATCCTTTTCAAACCTCAAAAATGTATGGAACCTGGATAGGGAGACAGACACGAGGTTGTAAGAAGAAACAAGAGTAAGGGGTATAAGGTGGTGGGCGGAAAACTCACACCTGCAACAAATATGATGTCAACGGATGGTGGAGCAGCGAGTGGTGGTGATGGGTGGCGTGTTGTGGCAGCTCCGGTGCTTCTCCATTGTGTTTTATCGGTGTGAACTCGGAGAGAATGGGGCAAGGAAGATGGCAAGTGGTGATGAAGGTTTCTCAGTGGTGTTGGAGGTTTGGGTTGTCCTCGGGAGGGAAGAAGTTAGAGGGAGGGAGAGTGGTGGTGGTGCTGTTTATGCTCGAGTTGGTACCACCAAGATGAAGAAGAGAAGGCTTGGCCTTTGGCTGGTCAACAAGTAAAAGGGTGAAGGCACAGGAGGGTATTGGGTTTTTTTGTTTCATCAGTTATAGAATAATAAGAAGAAGAAGAAGAAAAGAGAGAAATAGAGAGAGAGAGAGGGAGAGAGAGAGAGGGTGGGACCCTTTTAAATTTCATTTTTTTTCTTTTTTTTTTTTCAAAAAAAATAATAGAAAACCTCATAAATGGTCCCTGGGTATTGAAATGATGAAAATGCCCCTCACTTAACGGTAGAAAACTGACGGTGTTAGAGGGAAGGACTAAACATTAAAAGTTTTGAAACAATAGGGACCATCTGTGAGGTTTTTTGAACTTAAGGACTAAACTTGATATTTTCGAAAACCACAGGGACCATTTTTGAAGTTTTGTCTTATTTTTATATAGATATCATATTTATAAAAAACATAGTTTTGACAAATCTATTAAACATTAAAATATATCTATAGCATATGTATACAAACATTCCCTTTCAACAAATAGATTTCTATATGTTGTAAAAATTAAATGACAAATTTTTAACCCTAATTGTTTAGGAGACTCATCTATCAAGTTGAATTAGTAGTTGGACTAAAATTGTCAATATTTTATAACCTTTATCATTTTAATCAAGTTTTAAGACTTATATTTTGGTGTTTTCATTTAATGCCATAAAATTAAAAATATACATAAAAACATATTTGTTATAAGATATGATCAAATAACAAGATAAATTATAGAGTAAAGAAAGACATGAGAGTAGAGAGAACTTTTATTCCAATACTTGTGATGAAATCATCAAGTGTCTAATACATATGGCTCACTATTTATACTATCCAAATAAGATGAAAGATGAGCTATAATATGAATGCACATTATGATGGTGTATTATTACATTCATAATACACATTGAAATGGTTGTTACTAATGCTAAATAATGATGGGGGAGTTATGGGAGAAATGGAGAATCCAATGGTCATTCACAAACTAATATTTCATAACACTCCCCCTTGAATGACGATTGTATCATGCCTTGTTAAAACCTTAATAGGTAAAACCTCATGGGAAAAACCATTTATTAAGGAAAAAGAGTACATGATTAATAATAGATATTTGGAACAATTGCCTCGTTAAAAACCTTGCTAAGAAAACCCAGTGGGAAAAACATAGCTAAGGAAAAGAGTACAATATGTTTCCAACTCCCCCTGATCATCACATCACTTGATTTCCTTAAAGCGTCGCATTCCAATATTTCGTACCATGTTTTCAAATTTGGATGTAGGGAGCACTTTAGTGAACAAATCGGCCAAGTTGTTTCTTGATTGAATTTTCTGGATGTTGATGCCACGCTCTTTTTGAAGATCATGAGTAAAAAAAAACTTTGGTGATATATGTTTGGTTCTGTCTCCTTTGATAAAACCTTCCTTGAATTGGGCTATACAAGCCGCATTATCTTCATATAGTATGGTTGGAGCGTCCCTGTTAGAAGTTAGACCACAACTTCTCACGAATGTGATGAGTTAAACTTCTTAACCAAATACATTCACGGCTTTCCTCATGAATTGCTATAATCTCTGTTTGGGATCGAGCTTTGTGTGGATCAGACAAATATCCAGCATCTGCATAACCAATTAACTCCGCATTTGATGAATTTGAATAATATAAGCCCATATCCATTGTACCTCGAAGATATTGAAGAATGTGTTTGACTCCATTCCAATGTCTTCTTGTTGGGAAAGAACTATATCTTGCTAATAAATTTACAACAAAAGATATATCAGGTCTCGTATTATTAGCAAGATACATCAGTGCACCGATAGCACTAAGATATGGTACTTCGGGACCAAGAAGTTTTTCATGTTTTTCACAAGGCTGAAACTGGTCCTTTTTGGCATCTAAATGCCTTACTACCATCGGGTTACTCAATGGATGTGAGTTATCCATATAAAACTTTTTAAGCACCTTTTCTAGATAACTAGATTGATGTACAAAAACTCCATTTTTGGTGTGCTCAATTTGAAGACCCAAACAAAATTTCATTTTACCAAGATCTTTCATTTCAAATTTTTCTTTCAAACAAGAAGTGGCATTTTCCAATTCTCCAGAAGTTCCAATTATGTTCAAATCATCTACGTAAACAGCAATTATCACAAATTCTGATCCGGATCTTTTTATGAATACACATGGGCTTAATGGATCATTTTTATAGCCCTCTTTTAAATGAAATGTACTTAAACAATTGAACCACATCCGGCCAGATTGTTTCAATCCATACAAAGATTTATTTAATTTTACCGAATATACTTCACGAGAATTAGGAGTTTGTGCTTCTGGCACCTTAAACCCTTCTGGGATTTTCATATAAATATCATTCTCAAGTGAACCATATAAATAGGCGGTAACTACATCCATCAGACGCATCTCCAATTTTTCATGTGTTGCCAGACTTATTAGATAACGAAATGTAATTGCATCAACCACAGGGGAGTATGTTTCTTCATAATTAATTCTGGGCATTTGGGTAAAACCTTGTGCAACAAGTCTTGCTTTACATCTCACAACTTCATTCTTCTCGTTTCTTTTGCGCACAAATACACATTTGTGTCCAACTGGTCTTACTCCGTTTGGTGTACGGACTACAGGTCCAAAAACTTTTCGTTGAGTAAGAGAATTAAGCTCTTTGTTTATTGCATCTTTCCATTTTGGCCAATCTTTTCTATTTCTACATTTATCTATAGATTTAGATTCAACATCCTCATTTTCTTCCATAATCTCGCATGCAACATGATATGAAAAATTATCATCGACGTCTATCTTATTTCGGTTCCATCTTATTCCTGTCATGACTTAATTTATTGAGATCTCTTCATTTTCATAATTTTCAGGTACCTCAGTTTCTTTTGTTATGTAATTGGGCTCTTCTGGAGCTTTATTAATCTTTTCAAAGATTCTGTTTTCTCTTTTGGACCATCAATTATATTTGCTCCCTTTCGTTTTCGAGGATTTTTATCTTTGGAACTGGTTGGTCTTCCACGCTTCAAGAGTGCCTTTGATTCATTTGTAGTTGTATTTTTTTTTCCTTTTGGGATATCAATTCTAACTGGAGCATTTACAGCTGGTAAATGAGACTTTGTTACTCTCTTAGGGTCAGTAAATGCATCCAGAAATTGATTTGCTATATTGTGTAAATGAATTATCTTTTTCACTTCAAGTTCACATTGACTTGAACGAGGATCTAACACTGAAAGTGATAATTCATTTCAAGAGATTTTATTCTCCAGCTTCTTTATTTCTCCCCCTAATGTTAGAAAAACTGATTCATCAAAATGAAAAATCGTCAAATCTAGTTGTAAATAAATCTCCACTTGATGGTTCTAAATATTTTACTATAGATGGAGATTCGTATCCAACATAAATTCCCATTCTTCTTTGAGGACCCATTTTGTGCGGTGAGGTGGAGAAATGTATACATAAATTGCACATCCGAACGTCCTTATATGGGAAATATTTGGTACATGGCCGCAAACTAGTTGAATAGGGGAGAACTTATGATAACTAGTTGGCCTGATGCGTATAAGTGATGCCGCATGTAAAATTGCATGTCCCCATGTCGATTTAGGAAGTTTAGAATGCATTAGTAATGGTCTTGCAATTAATTGAATGCGTTTGATTAACAACTCAGCTAAACCATTTTGTGTATGAATATATGCAACGGGATGTTCAATAGTTATCCCAATCGACATGCCATAGTCATTAAAAGCTTGTGATGTAAATTCTCCAGCATTATCAAGTCGAATTTTCTTAATTGGGTAATCGGAAAATTGTGCCCTTAGGCGGATTATTTGTGCTAGTAATCTTGCGATAGCGAGATTACGGCTAGATAACAATCACACGTGTGACCATCTAGTTGACGCGTCAATTAAGACCATAAAATATCTAAATGGTCCACATAGTGGATGAATTGGTCCACATATATCCCCTTGAATTATTTCTAAAAAAGTAGGACTTTCATACCCAACTTTATTCAATGATGGACGGGAAATTAATTTTCCTTGAGAACATGCAACACAAGACAATTTATTAGCTTGAAAAATCTTCTGGTTTTTCAAGGAATGTCCACTTGAACTTTCAATTATTTTGCGCATCATAACTGATCCGGGATGCCCCAACCGGTTATGCCAAACTTTGTAGATGTTATCATACCTTTTATTTTCAATAGCATGAGATTCAATCATTCTAATATTTGTATAATACAATCCGGAGGACAATACGGGTAATTTTTCCAAAAGACTTTTCTTACCCAATATCATTTTTGTAATATTAAGATACTCTTTATCACCATCATTGGTTGTTTCAACATGATATCCGTTGGACCGAATATCCTTAAAACTTAATAAATTTCTTGGTGATTTTGATGAAAATAATGCATCTCCAATTGTAATTATTGTCACTTGTGGTAATACTATATTCGCTCTTCTGGAGCCTTCAATCT